CCCCCTTCTACAGGTGGGACATTCTGCGTGAGTTGCCATCAGAGGAAGACGTCTACGAAGAGAGCGGGGGAGAGGGCAGGGCGGACGGCAGTGGGCTGCGAGGTAAGCGTTGACAGCAGCATGGGAGGGAGGAAGGGAGGAAGCATTATGAGGACGATTGAAGAGCTCCGGCCGCAGACGATTTCGCCAACGGCTTCAGCACATTCCTCGCTCCTTTGCACACGCCGTCGCCTGTCCTTCTTCTCTCCCTTCCTTCTGACACCCTTTTCCCCCTCCACTCCCGATTCCCCCTCCCACCAGGTGACGTGCTTCCCTCCCTCCTCCTCGTCTCTCCCTCTCCATCATTTCCTCCTCCCTCGTCCCCTCCCTACGGACCATCTGCCTGCTCTCCCGCAAGTCTTCCCTGGGAAGAAGCCCGGGAGTTCAACGAAGTGGCAGAGCGGGAGGCGCGTTCCCTCGCTAAAGAGAAGGAGGGAATTAGGAATGCGGAGGAAGGACAAAAGGAAAAGGAGGAGCAAGGGAAGGAGGTGGCACAGATGAGAGCAGGGGAGGAGGGAAGAAAGGGGTCCAGGCGGCAGAACAAGCAGTCGATGAGGAGACCGAAAAACGGGTAGAAAGGAAGAAAGAAGAGGGAGCAGGAATGGCGGGAAACAGTCGGGGTGGGGGAGGAGAGGAAACAAGCGGGTACCATGTGCAACAAGACTCGAGAGGGGGAGAGGAAAGCGCGGACCATGAGCCCATCGAACACTTCCCCTTTCTCCCGCGTACCCCCGGCCCAGCCGTCCCTTCCCTCTGTCCGCCTTCATTTTCCAGCCCGTCTTTAGCCTCGCCACGCGAGGGACGCTTCGGTGAAATCCCTCGTGGACAAGAGAGCAGGAGAAAGAGCGAGCTAGGGATGTGGTGGGGAGAGGATGTAAGGGAAATTGGTTGGGAAGACATTGGCAGTCTACAGGCAGTGATTGCTCATGAGGGGGGAGGGGAGGAAAGGAAACGCGTATTGAGGAGAGTGGAAAAGACTCCAATACTTTTGGCGAAATGGTATTGAATAGTCTTTAAGAAATAAAGAAAATCAAGGCAAGATGACGACGATTTTATGAGGTTTGTGTACGATATGTCATTTCTGTGTCTTTCCGTTTCGACCATGGGACCTCATCGTCTTCACGCCAGCTGCGTCATCACTCTCTCCGTTCCAACGTATGCTAGATTCGCCTGAAAGAATCCCTTCGAGTCTTTCTTTTTCCCGTATTTCACCTCAGCGCCTTCCCTTTGAAAATGCCTCCAGCCGCTTCGCACGGACCTCCATCTCGTCCACTTCTTCCTTTTCCCCCTTCCATTCCCTGCTCTCATTCCCTCTGCTTCTCCCACATGTCTCCCCCACGCATAGTTTTGTTGGCAGCCGCAAATGGTAGCGCCGTCTCTTTTCTGTCCTCCTTACCTCCCTGCCTCTCTCCTCCCCTTCTCCGTTGCCTTTCTCCCCGCGTCCCTTGTCCCAGACCCCGTACAGAAGCTCGCACAGTCGCACCACCTCGTCCTTTTCGCCACCTTCCTCATCCTGCTTCCGCTTTATATCCGACTCTCCCTCCGACATCCCCAGCCTCCCCACCTTCCGGAAAAAAAAATGACCGTTCGCGCGCCCCTCCTCCAAGGCCTGCTGCAGGCACCAATCCCTCGTCTCCGTTTTTGAATAAAAGACCCGCTTTCTCTCCCTCGTCAGGGAGGTCCACGTCAGGGGGGAGGGGTCTTCCAGTCTAATGGGGAGGGCGGAATAAGACAGAAGCAGGGAGCCGTTGGTGCCTGCAGCTTTCATTCCATTCCATTTATCGCCGGCACAACTTCTATTCAGCTTCGCACTCGATAGAAAGACGTGCGTTTCCGCGTAACCACATGCGTCCCACACATTTATACAGAACAGGGTGCTATCCAGAAGAGCATAGCGCCCTACACACGCCCCCCCGACGCACCCAAACACTTACCGCTCGCGGCTTTGGTCCGTCAATGGCCAGTCAATCGCCCCTCCAACTGGCGAAAACAGACCCCGTCCTGAGCCTCCCTCTCTCTCCTTTCCTGTCGGAAACCTGCCCCCACGCGCATCTCGCTTATTCCCCCCCTGGTCCTCATTCCCTGCCTCTTCCTCCTCTTCTTCTTCCTCCTCCTCCTCGTCTGTCCGGGCGGACAGACAGCTTTCCCCTGACCACCTTCTCCTTCCTTTCGATCCTCTTTCCCTTACTTCTCCCCCATTCTCCTCGATCAGCACCTTCTTCATTCTTTCTTCCACCTGCAGCGCCAGCATGGTACCAACAAGCCACTCCTCGGGGCAAGTGATAGGGATGAGATCCCGCTGAAGGGAGGTAGGAACGGGTAAGAAACGAAGCCAGTTGGGGTGTGTGAAGAAATCAGATGGAAAGACAGAGAGATAGGAGGGAGAAAAGGAGACAGGAACGTCCAGGTACCCGTTCGCCAAGAGAGAGGAGTCGCTTGTAGTGGGTGGGGTAGTCCCGAGGGAAGGAGACGAGGAGGAGGAGGTGCTCGCGGGAGAGGGCGAGGAAGGTGTTATGACAGACAAGGCAGTCGCGGATGGCGGCCTCGAAAGGGGAGGGGGACGGCCAGAGGGCCTGAGGGAGGGGAAGGGTCCGAGAGGAGACATGCAGGAGGTGCCGGTGTGGGTCAGCGCGGGGCATGTAGGCAGGAAGGGCGGGAAATTAACAAGGTCTGAAGCTCTATATTTGCAGGTTTTAACATCTGAACAATAATCCATAGAACACATGCCTAAGAGTCACATCCCATGGATAGAATGGACACAGAGCCCCTCACCTTGGACTTCAATGCCCGTTGCCATCGTCGCTCGGCCTTGCAGAGGATGGAGCGACCGGGATGAATGAGGTATGGGCGGCCCTCCGTGTGGGTGCGGTGGGTAGAGAAGAGAACGGCAGGCGGTTGCAAGGGGACGTCGCGCCCCGAGACGACGTACACCATCTACAGCGGGGAGGGAAGAGATGTCGGTACCTCGTGAGACCGAAAGGAGCTAGAAGAAGAATGCACGGTCAACAATATGAAAATATGCGTACTTGGAGGGACTGAGGCCCTTGTTCCAGAACTGCCCGCAGCGATTCCATGAGGGCGTGCACGGTGGAAGAACGGCACCAGGCCGACGGAAGCCGCAGACCGAGGTCGTAGGTATCGCTAAAGGAAGAAGCGGGGAAAGATAACCGCTCGTTCCTGAAAATGAAGAAGTGGATTCGCTCGGCAAGATTGTCGCCTGAAGCACGTCGCCATGCCTCCCAAAGAGACGGATTGGCAACTCCATCGTGAGCGAGAAAGAGCACTGCGATACTGGCAGATGGAGGCAGAGAAGGCAACGAGGATGGCACAAGACTGCCACCGCGTCGACGCACGAAGCTTACTAAATTTTCAATGTCGTTGACGGATGAGCATCCATCACTATTGTTTTGAGGATTGAAGCCGTGAAAATTGAGATATATTTACTTCATTTAGAGGATGAGGGCACTTACGTCATGGAGGAAGGAAAGGATGGATGGCACTGCAATCCCATGGCTTGATCTTTATAAGCGTCTCGCTTGCGCCAATAGAGAAAGTAATAAATCTGCCAGGTGAAAAATTGTCAGAATCTTCGTTGGACTGGCATCAAGTCAAGCATCGTGGGGATGTGTCGGGATAGAACAAAGTCGCAAATTCGCGCTCAGAAACGGGCGGGAAAAGCGAGCAAGAAACGGCTCAAACCCAAACGGTCGACGCCGTTTGGATTTTTTTTTTTTCTATTTTCTCCTCCCCGTTGACTTCCTCGGACATGTAAGCATTTATTAATTTTTTAATAATGACTTTGGAATTTATGCTATGTAGTGTGATGCATCATCGCCCTCGCCCACCATTTATATTCGCTGCTAACTTTGCTCACACCGAGCTTGACACACAGTTACGGATAATCGACTCGTTGTCCACAAAGTTATTACCTTACCTTCATCTTTAAAGTAAGGCTTTGCGTGAAACAAAGTTCAAAAGGCAAATTCGACTAGCTATGATAGGATAATAAAGTAGAAATGAGCTCGAGCGCATACATTGTACATATACATTGCGAATGTCTTTTGAACTTTACTGTAATGAAAACATCAACAGGCTGTCCAAAGCTCCAGAATGAGCCACAAAATCTTGAATGCACCCACGTCAAGGTCGATTTCGAATTCAAATATATAACAAATACATATTTCCACGTGCCATTATTACAACTAAGGCGTCCTTCACAAAAAGGTAGTCGACCACGAGAAAGAGAGCGATCGTGATGAGGATGACCTCATGGACTTGTCCTGCATCTGTGCCCCTCCCGACCTGCATAAGTCTGTCACAGTCCCTTGAAAGGTGCATAGGCAGAAGCCTTTCTCTCCCATCTTTAAATGTTCGGGAAGAAAGCGTTCTACAAGGTCGAGATAGGCAGGAAGGGAGGGAAGAAACGACGGGGAGGGATGACATCGCGCCGGGCTACCTTTCCTCTGAGCTTCAGGTAATGGACTTGACGATGCCAAGATAGAAATTCGGTACAGAATAAGCTACAGAAGGGGCAAAAGTTCATCTGAGGATATTATAGGCTGCCTTCTTCCACCGCTTCCTTCTTTCCCTCGTCCTCCTCCTCCTCTCCCCCTTCCTTCCCCTCTTCCCCGCTCTCCCCCTCTTTGAGCTTTCCATGTATCTTTTTCTCCTTCTTCTTCGACCCCTTCCCCCCCCAGTATACGCAGGGTATCGCACAGAACCCGCGCCATGTCGTAGGGACCCACGGCGTGCTCGAGGGTGAGGAGGGAGAGGAGGGCGCGAGGAAGGGATGGATGGTGCCGGAAAAACGAGGGTAGTCCAAGTCTGTGCGGTTAGAGTTAGGGTTAGGGTTAGGGTTGTGCGATGTCGAAGAGGTGAGGAGGAAATGGGTCGTGTGTTTTAGGAAGATGGACAGAGATCAGAACAGGAGGCAAAGGACGAGTCAAGCCACCACATAAAGTCGCCCATCGACGTCTGGATATCAGGATCAATGCCATGATGCATTCGGGTGCGAGGCGTCTCTAGGAGCCGGGATGACCGCTTCGAATGAGGTCACAGGTTCAACAAGCAGTTTAGACGACAGCTGAATATGCTCTCATCTCCGAGACGAGAGCGGGCATAAGAAGACTTTTCCAAGTTCAACAGGACAACCTATCCAAGCATGGTGTCAAGCCAACACTCCGGCATCATATCTCCGTAGGATTGCCTCGACGCACACCCTCGCTTGGGCTCGCCTTCCCTCTTCTCCCTCCCATTCCCTCTGTCGTACCTCATCATCACTTCCTCCTCCTGTACAGGCTTCAACGCTGCGAGGGCCGACATCAGGCCTATCGTCTCCCTCTCTCTCGCCCTTGCACATGAGGCCAGCACCCAAGGCTGAACGACCGCGAATACGCATCGAGTGATCAGCCTTGCAAACGATGCCTGTCCGCCTATGTTCCACGCTACGTTTTCACTGTCGAGAGATGCGTCTCCTCTCAAAGGCTCAATATGGGACAAAAGGAGAAAAACGAAACTTTTGACGTCCTCCTCCATCTCCTCCGCT